CTCCTGGGGAGGTGGGGGCCTCGGATCCTGCCGAGCGGCTTGACGTCTGGGGGTCCCCACAGCCGCTCCCTGGGATGACGGGAGGGACGGGTGCCCCTGGGCGCGGGGGTGCTCACTGCCTCCAGCTCCCGCTCAGGGAGGGTCCCCGAGGACCGTCCTACCTTGCCTATTCCCAGGTGCGAGGCCTTGAGCCCCTCAGTTCCCAGGCACATGGGCCAGGGCGATGGACAGTGCGATTTCTGCTGCGTCCAGTTCGGGTGCCCCTGCCCAGCAGGGTTGAGGGTATGCGGCCGGCGAGCGGGGCGGGCGGGCCGGTGGGGGCTCAAGTCTCAGCAGGTGTGAGTCGGGGGCTGAGACCTTTGTTCCTCCATTCGACCCCCACCCTGAACTCTCAGCAGCAACTCCAGGAGCTCCTGTCCCCCGGGGGGCAGGGGAGGCTCTGACCGCTGGGCTTCCATCCGCTGGCACTGGAGGAATGGAGGGATGGGAAGGTGCTGGTGAGGTCGGAGGAGCAGGCCTGGAAAGGAGCCAGGGCTGGTATGCAGGGCATACAGGACACCTGGGACTGGGATGGGGGGCTAGGGCCTGGGGGGAAGGGGGCATAGGGCCCCAGAGAGGACAGGGTCTGGAGACCTGGAAACCTGGGTCTGGCCTCCTGGCGGGTGGTGTGTCTCACCTGGTGACTGAGGATGGTGCTGTAGAGCTGTTCTTTGTCCTCCTGGGGCCGGGGTGGGGCTGGGGCTAGGTTTGGGGGACCCTGGGGGACGTGGAAGGTGGCTCTCTGCTCCTCTAGGCGGCGGGACTGGGCCTCAGCCACTAGGTCCAGAAGGAGCTCAGTCTGCAGGGAGAGCAGGGAGGCCGTGCGGGGTCCTAGGGCTGGGAGAGTAGGGGGAGGGCTCAGAGAGGTTGGCAGGGCGGGGGCCTGGGGCAGGGACAGACAGGGGGAGGTGATGAGGGGCTGGTGGTCAGAGGTAAGGAGGTACCATGGGGAGTCCAGAGGATGTGGGGAAGGGGCCACGATGGAGTGGACCCTGGTAACAGGATTAGGAAGGATGCAGGCACCAGGGTCAGGGAACTCCCTGGATGGGTGGGGTACCTGTGTGGCGGGTCCCTGGAGGAGGGGATGGAGGAGCAGATCGCCAAGGTCGAATGGTGGTGTTTACAGGGGGCCAGCCATGCTCATCCTGACGGGGGCCCTGACGCCGAGACACCCATTCCAGTCAAGCAGGGAGGGCTAGGCCAGCGGCCGTTTCCTCTGTCTCTGTGCCTACCCAGCGCGCCCAAGCCCTTCCAAGTCCTGAGTCCACGGCCACTAGGTCTCTGCCTCAGGTCCTCTCACCTCCCTTTCTCCCAGGGCCAGCCTCCCCCACCGGGTGCCAGCTCACCTGCTCACCATCCTCTTCTTCCTGGGGTCTCTCAGCCTCCATGCCCTGGAGGGGAGAAACCGATGGGGGAGGGGAGCTGGGATTTGGAGGAGGGCCGGCACCCTGAGTTCCTGAGGGGAGTGGGGGCTGGAAGGGGTGGGGGTGAGCCAGGGGCTGGATGTCTGGGTACTAAGCAGGAAGCTGGGTTCCTGGTCAGCCCCCCATGGGCCCCGCCCATCCCTGTCAACTTCCTCCAGTTCTGTTTTCCCACCCAAACTGCTGCTCAACCTCTCTCCCCAGGGGAGCAGGGGCTGGGAAAAGCTCCTCCCGCAGTAGTGGAGGGGCTTCAAGGTGGGCAAGAACCCTTGGCCTTTCCCTCTCCAGAGCCTCG